ATGCGACTGTAGCTTTTTTTCCCCAAAACTCTGTCTTCAAAAAAAGGGTGCGTCTTATATTCCGAAAAATACAGTATGTGTTTTTTCTTCTAGATTTTGCGTAAATCTACCCATATAACGAAATAAAATAATAGTTTAAACATTTCCTAAGTAAAATATAATTGATCTATACTTGTATGACTCTTGGTCCATGAACTATTATTAGGTAATAAAGGGTAAATAAACACGTTTCTTAGTCAGATCGTGGTTAGTCGGACAACTTCGTTTACATCGAACGACAACTAAAGAATTAAATAATAATTTGGTTACCAATCTGGACCAATGGTTTGTTTAAAAATAGGTCACTGGTGACCTGGTGGCTAGGGCGGTCGACTCACGATCTGTTTGTCGAATCCCGTCACCGAACATGCTCGCCCTTTCAACTGCGGAAGCATTATAAAGTTACGGTCAATCCCACTATTCATTGGTAAACCTATCTGAGTTCCCTCTAGCTAGCAACAGATGGCTCTCAAGTAACTTTGCGCGAAATTCCACAAACAAACAAACTGATTATAAACATAGGATTTGAGATAATTTTGAAGAGTTGGGTGTTTTTTTATGCAATGTTATTACGTTTTGAGCTTTAACCGCAAAATATCATACTTAAGAGTGAAATACGCCAAAAAAAAAAAAACACACGCTCCCCTTATTTCACGCAGTATTGTTTGCCGACATATGCGATGAATATTAATTAGTTTGCATACGGAACACGTATGAAAGGAAGTGGGTGGATAGTCGGTGATGGTCGGCGGCATCAAACATGCACGTTTGCCGTACGCTATGAATATTGTAGCTTGTGAACATCCTCAAAGCCGGGAAGACCCACTCACATGCGTCCTGCATGATGGCGCGTACGAACCAATAGCGATCTACGTACCCTGTTGCTTAACCTACTCATCAAGGGGTTATAATGTGAATTAAAACAAAATCGTTAAGACCAGCGTTTCTCAACATTCCACTCTTTGTATTAAAAATCTCTCGGGCGGACAAGCTTTATAGATAGCTGAAGGACAAGACGTAATATGGTCACGTGCAAACATGTCAAACTTAAGAACTTACTACAGTTCTCTGCAGAATTGGTGTCGGCTTTATTTTTGTCCCTCAGGTACAGCAGGAAAATCTTTGCTGTCGAAGGTGAACTCCGCTGAGACTTCACGAATCGCCTGCGGGTTTCTATGTGCTTTAGGGCGGAATTACTGTCTCTATTGCGAAACATTTATAGATGGTGTTCAAATTGATCACTTCCCGCATGGATAAAACCAACAGATTTTCGGGGTATTTGAATGAGGATTACTGGATTATTAAATCAATAGTGCCTTCGGATGTATATTTGAATTAATACCGCGATTACGGATTAATAATGCATCGATATTGCACACACAGATAGACACATCTCTCTCTCCATCTCTCTCTCTCTATATATATATATATACATCTTATTGAGCATAGCCGTTAGGCGAGAGATCACTGTTATTCTAATCCATCTAACCCTAAAACTACCTATTAATCCTCCCCCCCCCCTCCTTCTTCGTTTT